AATTTCATATAAATGGAAAACCAAACCCAAATATGCCCGATTGAAATTAATTTTTGTATAGATTTCAGAATTGTATGTGTCGGACACCTTTGAACAGGCCAAGTAAACTCGAGTAAAAAAACAGATTTGTTAATTTTTGCCTTGGATTGCTTTAAATTTCAAATACTACGAATATTATATAACTTGCGAACAAGAACTACTGAATGGGCGATCAAACTATGACAAGTCAAAAAATCTGAAAAAAATATACAGGAACCTTATTTTAAGTTCGTTCATAGTTTTTTTATTTCTATGTTTTAAATATTAAGATAATAAATAATAATTTACAGACCCGTATACATTTTTAAACAAGCTTCTCTTAAAAATGTTTAGATCTCACAATTGATTGAGCTGGTTCTAAAAGGGTATGACTACGTCAGATTAACGACTATTATAATATTTCTCCTATCCATGTTACGAACTCTACACCTTGCCAATAATACCAGTTCCGGTATTGCGGACGAACAAAATAAATGTTTATTTTCCGTTTGTAGATGCCATGCACTAAATATAAATGTACGAAAGGATGCCAACAATTTAAATTGTATCCTTTATATTTGTCACTATTTCTTTCTTTTGGTATATTCCTCTTGTACTTATTTCCATAAACGAACAACGAACGAACGAACAAAATCGGGATAGGAAGAGAAACAAGTGTTGTGCAACTACAATCTCTGATAATGCGACATATGTATATATAAGTGTTTGCCTGTGTGTGTGTGTGCTTTTGTTTCATCTTGTAGAAAGTGTCGGTGTCATTTTCACAGCAGCCGTACAACCACCACCCTCCTTTTATTGCATTACGTATTTTAATCCGTTAAATTTAACTGTCATTTTAAAAATACAAAAAGCTTATTACCTCGCTCAGGAGAGATTTATTTATTTATTTAATGTTTGCCATTTTCTTGAGAAAATTTAATTTAAGATATGATTTTTCAAGAATTTGAACTTTATTACCAGATGATATAATATTTGCCATAAAGTGGATATTTCTGTGGAATGACTAGTGATTGAAATTAGGTGGAACATTTGTCAGATCTTTTAGGGTTGTACCTAAATTCATGCGTATGCGTACGAATTTATTCACCTCAAAAGTTAATTAAATGTATTTTAATGAATATTACACAAATACGCATTGCGTATAAAAATATAAAGTTTAAAATTTTCAACATTGACAATGCGTATTTTGGAGTTTTTGTTTTTTGAAAATAGAATTCTAGTCATTGAAAAGTTTGTTTTTCTATAAATGAAAACATTTTTCGATCAATTAAAAAAATGTTTTCATCCATTTTCGCCGCTTTCAATTGGCAAAGATGCAAATACGGACATCTTACAAACCCTAGAAAGGTGAGTATTTTTGTACGGAACGCAATAAATTAGGTACGACCCTTATACACAATATTATAAAATACCATCTGTCAATCGCTAGGACTAACATTGTTTTTTATAACTTGCTTGAACACGTCCTCTATAATTCGTAAAATTTTGCTACGAATTATCGTGATTTCACTGTACAATAATAATATCGATTGTAAATTGCAAAACAAAAAAACGAGAGCGGCGAGTCCAAATATATTGTCCTCAATTTACTTGAATGAAGATAAATATGAATTTTCAATTGAAGTTGGTGTTTTTCCATTTCCAATCTATCTTTAAACGTAATACTCGTTTTAATCCTTTTTTTCTTTTGGAATTTCCTACAAAGTGCATAAAATAAACGGGTTCTATTGGTATATCGTTTTCCTGTTGTTTTTCTATAGTTTTGGTTAGATTATTTTTCTACATACATATTTATTTTATTTGGTGCTCTCAAATGCGACATCAAACGATTTATATTTTTATTTGTGTCGAAGTTATTTCTTCTTTTGCTTTGGCATAAAACATTTTGTCAGTTGATATTTTCCATTGGAAACTCTTTGTATTAGCACTGGAGCGTAACATCAAAATAGAACAAGAGCGAGCGAAAGAGAGAAAGAACTGCAATAAACGATTTATGTTAAAACTATGCATCCAGTCCGCCTGCCACCCAGACAGACAAACAGACAAAGAGTGAAGCGGAGTGACATGCCAAAGAGGCGTAGACAATCACAATTCAAAGAACACGCAAAATTTCTGTAAAAAAACGAACGTAAATTTAAATTGGGAACACAAACAACAGCTAGTCGTGTCACTGTCAAATAGACTGTGAAAATCCTTGTTGTTTGTGAATGTGTGAGTGTGCGTGTTTGCAATCAGTGTTTGTTTATGCAAATAAAAAAATATATATTTTTAAAATATCAAAATATTTTTGCTTAATTTGAATTTACCCAAACAGTTTTTTATTCAAAAATCAATAATTCAATCGTTTCAAATTCTTGAAACGTTTTTATGGCCCCCCACATACTATACTACTGTACTGCTACTGCCGATGAACCCCCGTGTATGTGTGTTTTTGGATTCAAATTGATTTGATCTTATTTCGCCACAATTATATGATTTTATATTCCAAAATTTGTTTCTGACAACTTTGAAAATGACCGAAATTCATCATTTTCAAAATAAAATAGATTTGATTTTCGTACTGCATGAAATTCTCACACATACATTCTCAAACTAACAAAATTACTAATACTACTTAAAATGTGGTCATGCATGCCTTATGATGTGTGGGACCCTTTAGACCAACGTTCACCAAACAGGCGCCCGTGGGCGCTTTGGGAGAGTACCAATACAATCACAGTTCTGTGTTCGAACTCAACATTACTCTCGACATCAAACATGTCGTTTGCTTTGCAATGCTTTAACATATACGATCTGTGCCGAGAGAGCGAAAATTAGTCTCCCAACCGATCTATGCGTGTGTCCAACACAATCATAGCAGTTTGCATATGTATTGTTGGCTGCTTAGACCATAGTTGGGCAGACGTGCACACCAGCGTTGATGCGTTCTCTTAACATTTTTTATGCTAAAAAAATAAATATTTTTTAAACTTCCTGGGATGTTATTTATGTCTTGAAAATATTAAATTAAATAAATTCCGCAGAATAGTTCTTGTTTTTATTTTCCCTTAAATACTTTTTAAGAGAAAATTTGCCCACCATTGCTTTAGACGTACATTGCTGTCGTATGACCTACGACAAATCCAGTCGGTCAAGATATTCATTATTTTTTAACGTCGGTTGTGCGAAATTTTTATTTTTAAGGGTTACTACAAATAAGTGGAATAATGTTCTCAAGGGCAAACAAAATACACGTCTATGTTCTATTTTAATATTCAATCTTAATTCGTTTAGATATGTCCCTAAAATTTCGGACTGATCAAGAATATATATAATTTATAGGCCGTGAAAACATTATTTGAATGAATTACATACTGAAAAGTGAACGATATATACCCCCATACTATGGTGGCGGGAAGTGTCATTTTGTTTATCTAGGGAAGCTGTATTTTTTCATCCATCATAGATACAAACCGTCAAAATAATTTGTATTCATATACCAGCCGCTTGAGAACATCCAAACTCGATCTCGACAAGTAAAAAAGTGTCAGTCGGTGTAGCCGACAGATATCCTCAGTCTATGGTTTGCGGGGGTCTTCGATTTAATGTTGATCAAATCGGATATTCTATTTGCTTCAAATTAAATTTGCAAGTTTATAAAATATTGACCCTTTATGGTGGAGGTACCAGAAGGAGAGGTTTGGTTTTGTAGATTCCGTTCAGGAATTTTTGATGTTAAAGATGCACGGGTAGGCTGGTCGCATAGGTAGGCCGGTCGTGGAAAATGTCGATAAAATCGGAGAAATGCTCGAAGTTGACCGGCATGTTAGCAGTCGTAACATCGCCCAGGAGCTAAAAATCGACCATAACTGCTTTAAACCATTTACACCAAAAAAAGTATATAATGGATTTATTTTTCCCCAACCTATATTATGATGTTCAAGTTGGGATGAAAGGTTATTCCCTTCAAGAGTTATAGTGCGCGCCAGCCGGACAGACGGACGGACATTTGTAAATCAAATCTAAATTGTCCGAAACGGATTTGATTTTTATAGATACCCTCATTATTCAAAATATTACAATATTATAACAAAATTACTAAAGCTATCTATTGGAAATTGTTGACTAAAGGTAAAAACATTATTAACTATGCAAAAATCAAGTTCATTTTTCATTCATAAAAATCCAAATTAGACGTACGTCAGAAAGTGTCCGAACGCGATGTAGGGTATTGAAAAGCCATCCCCTACGACTTTCGTACAATTTAACTCATGAGAATATGTAAAAGGTTAAGTCCATGAAAAAAACGTGTAGTTAGATCAAAAAATTCCCCCATCAGCATTACAAATTGTGATTCCTAGAAATACTCCCTACGCAATCATAAACCACAGACATCTTTAAAAACTAAATTTTATTAAAAAAAATATTTTTAATTCAAAAGGAAGTATTTCGTTACCCCAAATGAATTTATTTGAAATGCTACAATGTGAGTGTGTCTGCCTGTCTGTGTATCCCTGCGGATAGTAAATAGGTTGGGAATTATGATTTATGCTCTGGAACAGTTGAAAATATTAACAAAACTATCACAGCGAAAAATATACAGACAACGACACGGCAAGCTGTGTAAGAAATGAAACAAAAAAATATTTCCAATTAAAATTTCGTAACTCAGCAAATATTCTCGCCAATGATATAAAGGCAACCAAAACGAGAAAGACGAAACCAACGCACATGGAACGGCCAACTGAATTATTAATAAATATATATGTATGTAGAAAGTGTACATCCATTGCGATAGTGTCTTCCCACTGAAATTCACAGCTGGAAAAGGTGTGAGGCGCAAAGTCCCACTGAAATTGGTCTACAGCTATTGACCAGAATGACGATAGTGGTCTTTGTGCGTGAGTGCTTTGTTGTCGATAACGGTTGTAATTGAAACAGCTCTTCAGATTTCTAGATTTCAGTTTTATTTCTCTACTTACCAAATAGATGATGGTCCATGGATATCGATGCTGATGCTGGATACTGGGAATGATGTTTGGTGGATTTCTTTAGGGTACCATGACGTTGGCTGGCACTTCCCGACTTATGCTGCATACTGTCCATGTGCTGCTGTTGCTGTTGATGTTTTTTCTCCTGTCGCTGTAATGTACTGCAGCTGTTTTTAGTGGAGCTTATCGATGTGGCGGTTGCGGCATCAGCGGTGGTTGTGTTGGTAGTGGTGCTGGTGACGGATGCAGCGGCTTCATTTAAGCTTGGCACATTGTGGCAGCCACTTTGAAAACTGTGTTGACTACCGGAAGCAGTCACCGATGTTATATGTGGTGGTGGTGGCACCGGATATCCGATATAGTCGACGACATACTGCGATAGTGGATCTCCACCGACTCCAATGCCACTACCACTACCACCACCGCCAGCACCAATACCGCCGACACCACAACTACTGAATGCAGACGGTGGTCTTTCGATGTAAATCTGTGTTGACGGATGTTGTTGTTGATGTTGCTGCTGGTGTTGTTGTTGTTGCTGCTGCTGTTGCATTGCGGCAGCAGCAGACATTTTCATGCGCCACAGCGTATCCTGATTACTGCCAATGCTGGCACAAATGCTACTCGAATTTGTGTAATTGTTTTCGGATGAGGGATAATGCAACGATGACCCTAAAATTAAAATCAAACGAGAATATTTAATTTAATTGGAAATTTTAAGTTATTTGTTTGTATTTCAAAATTATACTGGATTTTCGACAACATTTAGAATTCGAAATGTGCAATAACATCGAAATAGTTGAGAAAAACAAATCACATGTGCAAGGAACTTGTAATAAAAGACCACGAATAGTTCTTTTTCGTTATTTTGGAAACCTGTAAAAGTGTACGACACTGTGCTACAGAATATTATGTCTTTGTACATATGTTTGTAACATGCAAAATAAATCATTATTATCCATTTATGGATATACATAGAATCATGGTACAATCAGAATCAATGGTAGAATTGATGAAATTAACAAAAACTGTAGTTTAGTGTAAAGTCTTACAGTGTATTTTTTACGTATAAACATATTCAACATATTGCTTTGTTTATTTGATTTATTAATATCGCTAAAAATTAATGAAATGTCAAGTTCTTTTTCTCACAATATGGGGTTGCAAATATGATTATAATAATATTTTTCCCCAAAACTATGAAAGATTTTTCTCTGAATATTGTAATGCTGTTGAATTTTAACTACAACTGAAATTGAAAATATCTTATTTTTTTATATTTATTCAAGACACTACAAAAAAAATATATATATACAAATTGAGTTATTGTTTTGGAAGAACAGGGGCACACAAAAGAAAAATTTTAATCAGTAGGTTATGTTCTTATTGTGCCACGGGTTTATGTGCCCATATATTGTTTTTAACAGTTGAGGTTTTTATCTAGCTCCTATATGTATATTTCTCCGATTTTATGCACAAACACCCTAATATAATCTATAGTCGCTAATCGCATCTTGTTGAAATCGGTTTCTGAATCAAAGACCCTACGTTAGTTCGATTGTAACGAAATTTTGCACGACGAACATATATATATATATATATATATATATACACATATACATTCCTGATTCAAATTTCGATTTCACTTTTATTGCCAATATTTTGTATTTAACAATGTTTGCAGCAACAGATTTCATGAATTTTTTTTTTAGAAACATTACTCACATCGTATTTTGTATAACGTTTACATAAATTCACTAGTGCTGGTGTGTTTTGGGGATACCATTTGTATTTTGTTATTGCAAAACAGTCAGGCGTAATCCCATTTTGTCGTTGTGTTCATAAACACACAACTTTTCATTAGTGGGGAAAGTGTGGCATTGTTCACCAAGGGGTAACACAGGGAAGACTATAGTTTCGGATCTCGCAACTGATGTTTCGTTGGGTATATTCTCTCCAGAAGCTATTTATAGCTTCTTTACAAAAAACCTATTGTATCTAAAAGCTTGACTTTGTTCATCTGGGTTCATAATACACTCACCAAAGAATTTTCCATTCCCATTATTACAACGGTTAATGCGACTTTTTTCGTGAACCAATTTATAAGTATTATAAAGCAGTGAAATTGTCGAACTAGCAAACGTTGTTATCCCTTCTAAAATGTCCGTGGAATATTTTTTGTAATAATTGAATTCATGGAAATTTAGACATCAAGAGCCGGAATTGTCATTCAGGATTCACATTTAATTAGATTATTTACCAATATGTTTATACGACTTCCACATAACGGTATCACAATGCTAAGTAAGCATTTTATATCTTTCAACTTAACAGCCTTACCTAAAATTCAACTAGCTCGTTCGACGTTTTTCACCACAAAAGTTGAACACATGTATTTATATGAATGTTACCGAAATACGCCGAACGTACAAAATGTAAAGTTGAACAATTTCAACTTTGACAGAACGTATTTTTCTTTTGTTGAAAACAAAAACAAAACATTCTGGAAATTTGAAATTTTGAATAGAAACTAAAAATACGTGGATTAATTTAATAAATTCTCAATTTTGTTTTGCGGTTTGTATTATTTGTATTATTTATTTTGTATTCGACGTATTTGGGTAATACAGCCGTACAATTTAAATACATATATTATTATAGAAATATTTAAAAATATAATGTTTTTACAAAACTGATCGAAAAAAAGAAAAAAAAAAAACTAGAAAAATTACATTCGGAGTACATTCGGCATTTTAAAGTGGAGCACATTCGTGGGGCACATATACAGATTGTGCAATATTATTTCCTTAAAATGTTTTTGAGTTTGTCATTAAAACTAACCTTTAATATGGTTCGAAATTGCATATATAAGATCAAACGTGCTTGTATTGACGAAAATGCGATAGAGAACCCCTATTTCTGATGGTGTGTGCGACCTTGAGATGAAACGTGCTAGAAAATAAAGCCCTATAATTCAAACATTGTGTGGCGTATTAAAATCAAATAGAGCCTTTATAGGATCTGAATTTCAACCACACTGATAACGATGATAATTACCAGGCTATGACTATGGTGCCGAATGTGCCCCATCAAATGCCGAAGCTACCCCGGGTTGGGGCACATTCGGCGAATTTGACTTTTTTTACAAAACTGTAAATTTTTTTAACTAATACTATTTTTTTATATCCTTTTGGTACTATTTTTTATAATTAAGTGTCAGAGAACAATAATCAGCCATAAAGTTGTTATATATGTTGAATAAGTACTGAGATATAGAGCTCTAAAAAAGTGCCGAAGGTGCCCCAGTCTGCCCTATATATTATTGACCAGAATAAAAATTTATGTCGAAATTTATGTCGAATAGTGATCGCAGTATTTAAGATAGAGATTTGATTGGATATTTGGTAATGAAAATAGTATATATCGGGGGATGTTGGGCACAGATTTCAACTAAATTTTCTGTAATTTGGGTATATCGGTCTACTTTTTTAATATAGCCTCCGCAGTCCCGAACGACTACTGGTATAATCGGTCTACTTTTTTAATATAGCCTCCACATAGTGGTACCCGCAGTCCCGAACGACTACTGGTATAAAAGTTTGGCCCGATTGAACTATAGTTGATTATATCGGTAATTGGCATGTTGAGGCATTTGTAAAACGAATTGGTAACATAATGAGACTCCATGTTGCGAGGTTTTGTATTTATGCGTTCAAAGATATTGACAACCGATTAGACATATAACCACCATATAATGGCACCTGATTTCATTTACTCGTGGCGTAGCAACATTTTAAGTACTTTAAGGGACAACGTGTTCCTATGGAACTAAAATAATCTAGTCATAGATCTTAGAATCAAAATTCTGTGAATGGACACAAACGTATACATTCAATGATCGCCTGCACATTCAATTATATACTTCTCAATTACACTGTGCTACAACATGACAAACATTTTTTTTCAGGGGTTGTACTGTACCAATTCTGTTTAGTTGGAGTCTCTGGACCACGAAAATACATTTGGTTTTTTTTGGGTCACTTCGAAAATTAATTTTATAACGGTAAATTTAGAGAAAAACGTGGTTTCATGGAATTTCAATTAAAACTCGAACAACTTATTTACTTTTTAACAGACTTATATTATTCTCTTTTTCTTTCGAAGAGTATAATTTTATTATACTTATTATGTTCTCTAAAGGAAATATGGGTCTGTATCGTTTCCTGTTAGAAACCGTTATGTTTGCAACAGGCAAAAGGAAACGAGATAGACCCATAGTTCCTTTGAAGAATATGCACGAATCAATACAAAAATGTGTATAAGTCATCCATTTTTTAACCGATTTTTTTAATTTTTATTATTTTCGAAAGCTAACTTAATTTTCTTCCCCGTAATATAATAAAACTTATATAGCTTGATATCATAATTTCATCGTACAGTCCGAAGAAAAATAAATTTTGTCATTTTATGCGTATTTTTTCACATTTCTACCGCTGTAACTCAGCCAATACTCAACCGATTTACCAAATATATATCTTGTTTGAAAGCAAAAATTGTACTCTTCGAAAGAAAAAAAGAATAATATCAATCCGTTATAAAGTAAATAACTTATCCAAGTTTCAAATTGAAAATCCATGAAACCACGTTTTTCTCTATATTTACCGTTATAAAATTAATTTTGAGTGACCCAGAAAAACCAAAAGTATTTTCCTGGTCCAGGGACTCCAATAAAACAGATTTGGTACGTTAGAACCCCTGAAAAATTTTCGTGTCGCACAGTGTTACGTTTGTGTATTCTCACATAAAATAATTTCAATTCTATTTTTTTTGAAATTTTTCAATATTTGACAAATGAAGGCTTAAATGAATTATACGCTACCAATTTTTACCAAAATATCTAAAAAAAATAATAATCAAAATAGCTCGATAAAAAAATCGTGGAAATGTAAATAAGCTTCAAACATTTTTTGCAAATTTTTCGCAGTTTTCGACTTTTTCTCACTTTTTCAACCTTCCCTGGAGCTCCAATGAATTTTTAAACTAAATCGATATTTAAATAAAAATAATTGTCACAAAATCCTAGTAGTATTACGTCTGCATGTAGTATATGTGCTGTTGTTTTATTTGCACTATCGTTACTTTTACTACGGACGTTGCTGTTGTCATCGTTCTTGGTGTTGTTTATATTATTCATGGAGTAATCCTTTTCACTGTTATGCATTTTGACGTTGAATTTTAATTCCTAGAAATATACGAGTTTCCACTTATTGTCAGTTGGTCGTTATAGTTTGAAGTGTCTTTCAACGGAAGAGAACATCTGTACGGCGTATCCCGTATGCGATAGCATCGTTATGATTTTTCGCTTTAAACTCACACCGATATTCTTTATTGTCCACATTTTGTACTGCAGTTCCATTAACATACAACAAAATACACCACACATATATACACACAAATATATTCGTACTCATACCAAATTACAAATCCACGTTTATCAAACAGAACTGCGTTCTATGACATAAATTTGTATGTTTGTAGCTGTAGATATACGGATGTGTATATATTTACGTTGTGAATTGTTGTTTCTATTTAATTTAATAATACATAGAAATTTATCTTTGTCATAGTTCTGTAGTTGTCTAAACTACGACAACAACAACAACAATGTTATC